CGAATCTATGAGAAGTTGTTCTACACTCTAGTACATCTCAATTTGCATATGTTAGTATTACAAATACAATGTATCTAAATACAAATTCTAGACATATCATTGTAGAAAAAATACAATGTCATAATGTGTTGCGGCAATTTTTTACATCAACTTGAGATTTCTCTTGTTAAAAAGTTGAATAATTTTAACACATTCAACATTATGGATAAAAAAAAATAATGATTTTATATGGTGTTTTTTTCGAGACAGTATTAACAAAACAAATCCACGGATTTGGATGAAAAAATGAATAACCCAGGATGACGACAATATCTGCGAAAATCATTTATTCTTTAATAGTCAGTTTTGGTTAGTTTAATTTTTAACGTATATAAATATAGGTAGAAAAATGCAAATGTTGATAAGATAGCGACGGCCACAAAGCCCGTCACGGGGCCCCTAATCAACGTTGGGCCGAATCCGATCGGTGAGTTTGGGGGTAGTATGCCCCGGGCCTGCACAATTTGAGTGCCGAAAGTTAAAACGGAAACGCTACCAACATGCCTGTGGTTTAAGAAGCAAACGTAGATGTACAGTAAACAAAACGTGCACACAATAAGTATTGTATTGGTTAAACAAACATTTCAGTAATAAACAAAGCGTTTAACCCGTTCAAAATGTTTGCCCTCGTCATTCACACATCCGGCAAAACATTTGGTATTATTTATTATGAAAAAATTATATATAATGTATTATAGTAAAAATTATGAAAATTAAATATTTAAAAAAGGTTTTAATGAATAAAATGAATTCTAGTATTAAATGATCCCAAGAATAAAACTGATTCTAGACGAAAGACAAAAATGTAAACGGAATAATACATAAGACATTATAAAAATGAATACACAAGACATTATAGCAAACATATAAACCAAACACAGTTTTAATCGTATACATATTATTATGATGTGCATAAAATAAAATTTGATATCTAGAATTAATATGATTTATACATTTCCTGAACTTATAATTGCATATAAAAATTAATATAAACCTGCATAGACGAATGTTTGCATTAAATGCGGAAATGCGTACAAAAGACAATGTAATAAAAACGTACAAATGCAATGCATATATTTATATTTAAAACTAAAACTCTCATTACTAGATTAATTGATAAGTATATTAAAATAGCTCTTTTAAGAATATGTATCATAATTATCTCTCGAAATAGAATCCATAACTTTGTTGTTTATTAGGTACATTTTCGGTGTACTCCCGTTTCTTCCTTCAGGTATATCTCGCTCATCGATATCTTTTGTCACCATTCGAAGTATAAGAATTCGTAGATATCAGTGTCATCGATTCATTCTCCTGTGAAAAACCCTAATTAGCATTTGTAATTAGTAACTAGATCACCTGTGATCTGCTGAGTTGCTCACTATACAACGGACTATAAAAAATGTGAAAGTTTCAATCAAATTAAAATTTATTTTGAGATAATTTAATTAAATCTGCGTTATTCATAATTAAAATAAAAGGTGTTTCGAGTGCTGATCAGGAGTAAAAGACACTCAAGTATATCATCAGCAGGAGATCACACCTTCCTAGCGGAGAACTTTCACGTGAATTACCCTAAAAAAAAGTCAGTTGAAGACATTTCAAGTAACATGAATATTAAAGAGACGTATTTACTGTAAATGTTAATATGCAGTTAGATATAATATTGTAAGACATTTTTATGTTTATACATTCTTTTTATAGATACAAATATTTAAGTAAATGCTCTGTTTATAATAAACAACATTAATAACATTTATCGGCCTCAATGTCCGAGAAATTTTCACAGAAAATATTCGTCCTCCGATAGGAATCGAACCTGTATCATATACGGAACAGTCATATAGCCTGACGTGCTTTTTTCTGATTGAGCCACAGAGGATAGTTCGGCTAGCAAGGTCGATTTTACTGCTTTTAAACTATAATCTTCTATGAATCTGAAGAGTCTTGTTGGACTAGAGCGGCTTTTGCACTCCTTACTACACGATGCAAATGTCAAAGTTTCTTTATTGATGATGTTTGCCGTATTCTGTTGGTGTAACATTATTATAGTTTTGCAGATGGTTACGGAATCCTGCATTTACCATATTCTATCCTTCTGCTGTTCGTACAAGTATTTTTTCTGGGCTTAAAGTTTGTAAAAAAAAGAAAGTTGATCACTTTTGCCTTTGTTGTACTAGGGATTCCTAGGTCATAGACTTAACGTATCCGTACATCGATTGCTGGTATTAATAAATTAATGCTCGATATATACAGGGTCGACACTCAAAGACTGAATGATATAAGAACAAGAATAAGTATTGCAAACATATGGGTATCTTGGGATTGCAAAGTTTAGACCATTTGAATCTTGTATGGTAAGATTTTTAAATTCAGTTTCAGAATCTTCTGAAGCGATGTTCTGGTGATGCCTAATTGAGCAGAGAGACGACGAGTAGAAGCTGATGTACAGATTCCAACGCTGCGTCAGAGTGCACAGTGCGCTTAGGACCTCTTCCCGGACGATCGACAACTGATCCAGTTCCTTCAAACGAGGCGATTAGGTTCCTAATCATTTTATCGTTAAGCGATACTCTGGAGTTTGAAGAGTTGATGTTTTATTGGGATAGAAAAAAGAACTCAATAAGTTTTACTCATTACTGGACATTACACGCAGCCATTTTAATCGCAAAGGGATATTCTATAACCTACAAAAATAACAAAAAGTATAGAAATCTAACAAGATATGACGTTTAAAAAAAAACCTTCAGATTTTTAGTGGCCACCATTAAAAAATGTAAATGTTTCGGTCGAGTTAAATGGCTAATTTACAACTTTTATTTTTTTCAAGAAAAGAATACTGAGCTGTTATGTGACACCAGTCCTTCTTTATGGCAGCGAATGTTGGACGATTTCGTCAAAGATGAAGAAGAAGACTCGAGGCGACGGAGATGTGGTTCTAGAGAAGGATGCTAAAAATATCATGGACCGAGCGTGTGAGCAACGATGAGAGGTTTCAAACAAGGAGGAGGCTTATACTTAAAACCAGGAAGAGGTAGCTGACGTTTCTGGGACACATAATGAGAAAGGAAGGCCTGGAGAATCTGGTACTCACGGGTCGAATAGAGGGAACGAAAGACAAGGGAAAGCAGCGCGTAATATCCTGACGAGCTTGAGCAGGTGGATGACAGAACGTGGTCTGTGGCAGGAAGCAGAGAGAAGGAACTTGTTGTTGAGGGCTGCAAGGGATAGACGGAGGTGGTGAGCCATGATCGCCTACGTCCTGAAAGGATATGGCACATTAAAAGAAAGAAAGAGGTGTTATTCTGTACACGTAAACATTGGCACAATATATTCTTACTTCTGCTTCTTTCACTGCTCAAAAACCCAAATTAATGAAAGTTATATTATTCGTGTCTGTTTCAACTTCTTACTTCTATTATTCTCAATATAAATAAACGAGAGATTTTTTATTAGTTTTTTTCCTCGGTTTTCCTGCCTAAAGTCACGCAAATAAGTATTTTCTGTGCTCTTTTGTTATGGAGGAAAATGGCCTATCGTACTTTGTGTCCCAAAAGCCGAAGTTAGATGATAGCATGATTGTTTATTTTTCTTAGCATTTCAATTTCTTTTCTTTCGGTTTTTTTTAAGATTTCGATTAAATTCACTAACAGAGAATAAAGATATGGTGTATAATTTTACTTTCACAGAAACTAGAGAAAGATTTTTTCTTCTTTCCAGGCGTGTAGAGCCATCTTAGCACAGAATCGAGTGTATAACAACGAGCCTTAGGTTTTATAAACAAAACATTTTAAACACAGATGTTGCGTTATTATAAACCGGATATTAGGTCAAAATAATAAAAGGAACCAGTATCCGTTCCCAGATTGTAACCAGAGACGTTTTTTTATATATATATATATATATATATATATATATATATATATATATATATATATATATATATATATAAGGAATTTCAAAAAATAAGTTACTCCAAAATTCGTTTGAGGATGAAATGGAACTAATGTTTTAATTTAATTAAATTCAAAGCTTTCAGCTTCCATTTTTGAAACATTGTTAATACTGTGTAGCGAAAAAAAAATTTTACATTTTAATATATATATATATATATATATATATATATATATATATATATATATATATAATGTAAATCAGTTTAAACTTCTTGGGTTAAAAAACCTGGATGGTTCAATTTTCAAATAAAGTGGCATCCGACCTGTGGAATAAATATATTTATAAGTACGGTGGAGTAATGGATAGAGGCCCGGATTGAGGAATCGGAGTATGCTAGTATCCTTGGGAATGTTATTAATCCTCCTCTTCTACTCCCAGCTATGAGTAAATAGCAGGACAGACCTGGTTCTATAGCCTTGCTTGGCAACTGGTCTACCGAAGAAAGAAATGGCAACCTCCTTCGGGAAAATATCCGCCTCCTCAGTCATGTATCGAAAGATACATGATCGCGTAAGTGTGTATCACGCATGGCATGACTGACAATTTTTCGTGCGTATATGTATATTCTTTTATACTATATCTATCTATCTATCTATCTATCTATCTATCTATCTATCTATCTATAGATAGATAGATAGATAGATAGATAGATAGATAGATAGATAGATAGATAAGTATGGGATTGGAGTATACGGAATAAATTCTAATACCCAAAAAATACTATTCTTAAAGAGCGCTCAGTACAGAGTAGGTATTTATCCATTGTTCCCGGTACATTGTTTGTAATTTCGAGAAAAATTTATTAACATTGAAATTTCTTTTGAAATTGAAGGCCATCTTTGCGTTTATGGTTTTCTAACGGCAACATCATTAAATATTATTGTCTGTTTCAGTGAATTAACCGTGGTATGAGCGGCCATATTTTTCTGCCATCTTGTTTCGTTGAAAGAAAAGGTTCCTAAATTGTTTTATTAATTATAAAGCTAACAGAGTTTGAAGGAAAGATGGCCGAATCGAGAAGTAAGTTTGCACTAATGTACATTTTAACAGAAATCTGTGAATATCAAATAAAATATCGATCGAGGAAAATCATGAAACCGGAAAAGATTATCTCATTTTTCTCAAAGCGGAAGAATCATTGATGTATTTTATGAATTAAACAAAAAAAAATTACCTCATAATATCTGCCTTAGTGTTGAATAGTGAATTTCAATGATAGCCAGGGCGCTATTATGAAAAACTGAGACGGAAAAGGAAGAAAGACCTCTTTGTTTTTGTTTGTTTGTTTGTTTGTTTGTTTGCGTGCGTGTATGTGGGGGTGGGTATGTCAGGGCACAAAGTAAAAAAAAATGAATAAATAAGCAAGCATGAATAAACAAGAATTTAGCGCCCAAATTCTTTAGTCAGATAATCGAAATTAAATCGGCATTCTGACTGAAAGGCAGCCGACAACATACTTTTTACGGATTTGCATAAAATGAATTGAAATTTTTAATTCATTAATAATACGAAGGATATCTGCCTCGCTACTCACCTCTCGCTCTCTCTCCGTAACACACGCACACACACACACACACACATAAACAGTTACACACATACACTGGCACACAGACGTGCACGCACAAGGAAGAGAAATACACACATAACGCGCGCGCATAAATTCCATTAAATAATATGTGGAAATGATCCTTTGGGCCTGATGAAGGTCGAAAGATCCGAAACACGTATAGCAAATATATGGAAAATAAATATTTAAAATCCACATTAAAACCAAAAAACATTTGCTGCCTTTCGCTTATCTTTAAATATACACTTTTTTTTTATCGTCGGAACAACCCTCCTTTCACACACACACAATATATATATATATATATATATATATATATATATATATATATATATATATATAAAATGTGCGTGTGTCTGTATTTAGACAACAACGTTTCTTTCAAGCATGTTTCATTGACAGAGAAGGAAATTTGATTATATTTTATTTAACTTTTCTAATATACATACAAGGAGACATGGTGGAATAATGGATACCGGCTCGCTATAAAATTGGAAATTAAAAATTCCCAAGGACACATAGCATAGTGGATAAAGGCGTTGATTAGATGCAGTGACAGAACCCAAATAGTGTGTTCAATACCCGGCAAAGGCAGTGGAGAACTTTCAGAGGGAAAATTAACAGGAGATAAAGGTTAACTGATATCCATTAAACATGACACGTGGAACCAGAACAGTCTACCCCAGTGAGCGAAATAATAGGTTCAGTTCGACATTCGAACCAACTGAAGAACGGCTGAAACGTTGTAATAAATATGGCGACAATGATGAGGACAATAGTCCGAATAATGTAAACATAATTTACATAATACCTCATCTCAGAAATATAGATAGATATTCCCAATTTAAAATTGGTAATATTTAATTTCCAATTTTATAGTAAAATTTAATATTAATTAGTTAGAATGATTTCTATTTTAGTCTAACCTTAATATTAAAGCATTAATTCTTATAACCAAGCTTCGTTATCAAGTTTTTTGAATTCTCATATACTTGTATTTTGACTGGTCATTGCAGCTTATGTAATAGCGTTTCCCGTATAAAGGGCGGGGGGGTGAAACTTTTAAACTCTTTATTCTACATTCAACACCATCACTTGATAAGACACCAGAAGTGTTAAAACAAAATGGCAATTTGGTCTGAAGAGATGTGCGTTTGAGTCCACGAAATAATTTATCACCTGACCGAAGGGATTTTTAAGGATTCCGTATTCATAATGAATATAGTGAAATGCATATATATATATATATATATATATATATATATATATATATATATATATATATATATATATATATATATATATATATATATATGGCAATTTTTCATGGTTAATTTATTGAAACTTCAAATGTTTTTTGAATTTGGGAGACCCAAAAATTATACTAACGTTTATTTAGCAAATCGAATGCACGTGAAACCTGATTAACCAATGAAAATCAAACACAAAATAAAAAATACAGTGTAACTCGGATATAAGAGAAACCCGGATATAAGAGAAACCCGGATATAATAGAGATTTTCCCTGGTCCCCAATTAGAGCCTGTGTTAATGTATATATAATAGACCAAACTCGGATATAAGAGAAACCCGGATATAAGATACTTCTTCTCCGGCCCCGACAACTCTCTTATATCCGGGTTACCCTGTATCATTTTTCTTATTTTTCTTCATATCTCATTCTCTTATGAAGGTTTAATAATAGTGTAAATATATTAGACTGATAACATTGACTATTTGTTCTTTATCTTATCATATATATATATATATATATATATATATATATATATATATATATATATATATATGAAGCTATATACATAAAACAGTTGAAACCTAATCTGAACAAAATAAACTACGAAATATTCAAAAATATTCTTAAATGCCTATAATTGATAACAGAAGCCATTGTTTTATACCAACGACTTCCCATACTTAATACTTCTCGTTTTCACTCTCGCGTGGTCATGTGTGACGTCACGAGCTGCGATTTCGATTTTCGCTTTCGCATCTCGTATACACGAGTTTGTCGTTGCTTTGAAATTTTTCATGCAACAAAAACAGATTATCCTTATCGTTTCGTCCGTGTATTGGTTGATATATTGAAAAGTAATTGTCATCTTTGATAATGACTTACGTAAACCGAAAGATCAGCTTGGATTTAAACATATATCAATATGGTGATTTCCTTTCGTCTTTCAATGATAATGGTATTAAGTTTATCAGACAATATGAAAGTAACTTACTTAAAATAAATACACAAACTTGTCTATATTATTTAATGAAACATATATATATATATATATATATATATATATATATATATATATACATACGTATCTTTCAGATATAACGATATATATTTTTGTATATCAAGAACAGTATAGGGGAAATTGTATTCCTTTCTCCTTTTCTTATATCTATCTATCTATCTATCTATCTATCTATCTATCTATCTATCTATCTAAAGCATATTTCAATCGGTTTCACCCCATGCAAAGCAGTAAAAGCCAGTAAAACACAAAGGTTGGACGTGGAAAATTAGCAAAAAAATCTTTAATAATGAGCGGGAAATAAAAGAGTAATCACGAAGACAATAGATAGAGACTGACATTGCCTTTAAATTTTTACTGATTAATCTTGGCTGGAAAGCATGGAGTCGGATGGGATCTTATTTGCTAGCATTATTATTATTATTATTATTTTCTTTGAAATCTGGCGTTTACATATTTCTTTCCGGGTCCCGCCCAGGGACCTAAGGTTAGAAATGGCATCATGACACGTTCCACTGACAAAAAAAAAAAAAAATATAGATAAAGCCCTTCGTAAATTGTGGGCTGTACTTGTCAGAACAATTTTTTGTATCTCCTTGAGGCATGGACTTCCAGGAATCCCTTCAATTAGTCTACTGCAATCTTTTCCAACAAGTCCTAGGGATCCAACTACAACAGGGATTGTTGATGTTCCCATATGCCACATTTTCGAGATTTCTATTTCAAGATCCTTGTATTTTGACAGCTTTTTGAATATCTTCAAAGATACATTGGAGTCAGCAGGGACTGCCATATCAATAAGGAGGCACCGTTTTTGTTTGTGGTCTTTAATAACAATATCTGGGCGGTTGGTCTTGATTGTTCTGTCAGTGTGTATTGTGTAGTCCCATAGAATTGTAACAGGTCCTATCTCCGTAACCGGGTCTGGATGGTTTTCATACCAGTTTCTTTCAGTTTCCTTCCCGTAGAAGTTCCAGATTTTCCAGTGCAGATATTGGCCCACTCTGTCATGTCAGGTTTTATATTCAGTGGGTGCCAACACCCTGCAACCTGATACAAAATGATTAATCGTTTCTGGATATTTATCACAGAATCTGCATTTTGGTCTGACACAATATTTTAGTATATGTGCTTGATAATTCCTAGTTAGCAAGCATTGGTCCAGCGCAGCAAGGATAAAACCTTCAGTTTCCGCTTTCAACCCTGAACTACGTAACCACTGATGGGTACGGGTTTTGTGTACGTCAGCTTGTTTGGTACGGGCAGAGTATTGGCCATGAAGTGGTTTATCTTTCCATCGCTTTTGTATCTGGTCGATTGCATTCGTCTTTGCTGTCTTTTTTTTAGTATTTTGCAGTTTCAGCCGGTGTATTATGCTGTAGTTGCATCTCTACGCCCATTTGAAACTCCATTTTGAATTTGTTGGCTTCTTTTATTACGGAGTAAAGACGCTTACTACTTTCATGTTCCTTGACGCATACCATCATCCAGTCTTCTGTAGTTTTGTTGAAACTTGACTAATGCATGGAATAATAATGCAACACAAAATGTACTTAGAACAAAATGTATTGAAACAAGAAAATGTACACAATATTTACATATAGTCTTTTGTATGTTCCTGGGAAGACCGTTCCTAGAGAATGTGTTGACTTAGTCGCAGTCGGGCAGAGTCTCTGGATTGAATCGCTCGATTCCTCCCCTGTCTTCCCGGTACCAACCATATTTATATGGTCGGTACACCACTATGCAAATTAGGTGGATCCTACCACAACAAGTTTCCAAGTATCTTATTATTATTATTATTATTATTATTATTATTAGTAATAGTAGTAGTAGTAGTAGTATTTCCTTTAAGTTCCAGCTTCCTAAGGTCAAAAATGGCGTCATGATATTTTTCCCCTGATCATTAAAAAAAAACCCCAAAAAACCCCAAAAACCTAAGATCACTCACATTTTACATAGATAAAGCTCTTCGTAATGTGTGAGCTGTAATTGTGGGTGTAATCTGTTGTATTAGTTTAATACATGGGCTACCAGATATTCCTTCAATGTGTCTATCAGGACATTTCCCAATCAATTCTTCATGTGCCCCATGTTTGAGATATCCACTTCAAGGTCCTTGTATTTTGATACCTTTTTTTTTTAATATCTTCAAAGATACATTGCAATCTGTAGGGACGGCAACGACTTTATTATTATTATTATTATTATTATTATTATTATTCTTTTAGATGCATAATTACGTGACTCGATCAGGAATCGTTTGGATTTTTGAAGGGGGCGTGCTTTTACTGTAAATGCCGAACAGTTGTTCAATACACTGGTAGATTTCCTATGTGATTCACCCTCCCCATCCTGTTTTATCGAACTCTGTCGATCCAACCGTTGCTGTAGAGCTCTACCCCACCTCCGCCACCACTCCCATACATACACTCACAATAGCTGTAAAGAATTTCTCGTGTTCGTCTTTTGAATAGATTTCCTCCATTGCAAGTGCTTCGCTGTTTCTTCACTGCTCAATTGGTATTTTGTTCTGGTACTGGTTCCACTGAGGACGAAATGGCGCTGATGTCGGTGGGGAACGAAGAGAAAAAAAAATGGGAGGGAGGGACGATTTGTTGTTTATTTCTTTACTTTACTTTATTTGTCTTTTCTTCCTGTGTCTTTTGCAATGTCGAAATCGGTGGGCGCCTCCCTCGATGTCTTAAATTGCCCGCAACTAACAAAGATGATGGATGTCACGTTCGGTGACATATTTTTTCCATGGTTTTCTTCTTCTTCTTCTTCTTCTTCTTCTTCTTCTTCTTCTTATTAAATCTTTTCTTTATTTAATTTCATTCTTTACTAATCTTTATTTATTTATTTTTCTCTGTGGATATTTCGCTTTTTGTGGATGATTGATCGATGACCCTCTTTCCAGTTTCTTTCTGTCTTTTCTTTTCTTTCTTTCGTTCGTTTCAGCTTCCCACTTTCATATCTTTCTTTCTTCTATCTTTTTTTTCTTTTCGTTCTGTTTTTCTCTTTCTTTTTCTTTCTTTTTTTCTGTCTTTCTAAATTTCATTCTAAATTTCTTACTGCATATCTTTCGTTTCATTTTCCTTCTTTAATATCTTTCGTCATATTCTTTCTTTTTATGTTTGTTTCCTCTTTTTCTTTCTTTCTTTCTTTCTTTCTTTTCTTTTTCATTCCCCTATTTTTCCTTATTTATTTCTTTTCTTTCTTTCTTTCTAAATTTATTTTGTTCCATTTTCCTCATACCTTTTTTTATGCTTATTTTCTATTTTCCTTTCTTTCTTTCTTTTTATGTTTATTTTCTCTTTTTCCTTCTTTCTTTTCTTTTTCGTTTCTCTACTTTTCTTTCTTTCTTTCGTTTCTTTTCTTTCTTTCTTTCTTTCTTTTCTTTCTTTCTTTCCTTCTAAATTTATTTTGTTCCATTTTTCTTTTTTCATACCTTTCTTTCTTTTTATATTTATTTTCTCTTTTTTTTCTTTCTTTCTTTCTTTCTTTCTAACTTTTTTTTCTAAATTTTTTACTAAATATCTTTAGTTTCATTTCCCTTTTTAATATATTTTCTTAACTTCTTTTCTTTTTTTGTTTATTTTCTCTTTTTCTTTCTTTTTTCTGTCTCTTCTTTTTTATTTCTCTATTCTACTTTCTTTATTTCATGTCATTTCTTTCTAAATTTCTGTCTTTCTAAATTGATTTCGTTCCATTTTTCCTTAGTTCATACTTTTTCTTTCCTTTTATGTCTATTTCTTCTTTTTTTCTTCTTTCTTTTTCATTCCTCTACTTTTCTTTATTTTTTCTTGTCTTTTCTTTCTAGATTTATTTCCTTCCATTTCCCGTCTTTCATATCGTGCTATCTATTCAACATTCTATCTTTTTCTGTAATGCTTTTCTTGGCACACCTGATTACTAGATACATCTCACTGAACAGAATTCGTCCAAATTAAATTTCATGAATTAAAAATGTTTGCTGCTCTGTCAAAAGCATTTTTGCTCAAATGTCGGTAAAAATAAACTAAATCTGCAAAATTTTCCTTTGCTTAAATATTTGCCTTTTCTATCCGTAACTATCGTATCAGGATAAACATGTAAAAGCTTCCTTTTTTGCTTGACAATACCTGTACATTGAAGGAAATGTCAGCAAAAACACTCTAAAAAAGCCACATGTCAGCTACTTAAAGAATTTGTGTAAAATAGATGATACGAACGAGGACAGATCGGAGCAATAAAAGATCAAATTTCCTAAGAGGATAAAAAGAGATTAAACTGTGGAGATCCATGATCGCTTACATAGTGAAAAAAATCATAACACATAAAAGATTACATAGTTCGATACCTACACCCTCCTGCAAATTTATCAAGACGAAGCAAATAATTCCGTTATTATTTACCTTTTTCGTATTTTTCTATTGAAACATGATCCAGTGCACATGTTAGTACTCCGTATATCAATTCCACGAAGTCATCCCTTACAGATCGACCGCAGATTCTCGATTGGATTTAAATCAGAAGAGTTTTCGTTCCAGTCTATACTACTCTGATTTGTTCACTTGTCAGTGTGTTCGTGCATCGTTACAATTTTTGTACGCTTCCTTGGCAGACAATGGTCATAGGACAACTAATCGACAGTCGAGACAATAGTGTCTGAATGTGATGAAAATCTGATGCAATCACGGATGTCGTAATAGTTTTCAAGGCCAAAGTAATTTCATCATACAGAGTTTGCGTAAACAGATGATGATACGAACAAAAAACAGATCGGTTCAATAAAAGATCAAATTTCCTCAGAGCATCAAAAGTCATTAAATTGTGGCGAGTCATGATCGCCTACATACTGAAAAATCATAAAACGTAAAAGAAGATTACCAGCATCTGCAATGTCGTTATTGGTGAATGGTTTTAATAACTTGATTTTCCTCCTATGGTAACATTCTTCCCGTCAAGTGAAGTCACGCTGAAAACCCATTAACCGGCATTGATTCAGATCAGTACTTAGATGGAGGACACCGGATACTGTGAGCGGCGTCCTACAACCGGAAATATGTTTCAGCTTTGAATAAACCCCAAAGGATTGTTATACCGTAAAATCTAATCAATCAAACTTTTTGTATAAACTTAGAAAACAAAAGAGTACGCTTTCATCATCACTGTACATTCGTTGAATTATTTCACCCCAAGCAAGGCAATAAAAACCGCCATGACTCAAAGGGATTCTGAATGTGAAGAAATATTTAAAAATAAACATTATTAAGAACAATGAAAGAACAGGAATGACGATAACTGAAAATAAAAGATAACGATTGACGTTGCATCTAAACTTTTGAAGGTCAAAGTTGACCGGAAAGCAAAAACAGCGAAGAGCGTTCCACCAGTGAGAAGTGCGAGAGAAGAAACTGTTGGTATAAAACTTACGGTTATCTAGAGCAATTTCAAGAACTACCCGTTAATATAGTACTGTGCTTAAATTCGTAAATATACTCAAGTTATGATTAACCATTACATTCACAATAAGGAACCTTGATTTGGACGTCTATCTTCAACCGAGATCTCGGATGGGACTCATATACTCGTTCTACTACTAAAAATTCAAGAGAAAGGATCGGCTCCTTGGACTGTTCCAGAAAGCGCTACTTTCAAGCTTTTTTTTTTTTTTACCAGACCAAAAATGTTTGCTGAAATGGAACTACCTAGTTCTCACTTTTCAGTTGTAAGAGAATTCCAAATCGTTTTCCTTGTAGGGAAAGATTTATTCTACATCCTACAACCCTTTTGTTGAGGATGCAACATCGCAAGCCTCGATATAACCATGTCAAATGTTCAGTTGATACCCATTCTCTATTGCTGCAAAACCGATCTTGCTGGGTCCACAATGTTTTATCACATTCATTCCCTACATATTCCTTTGGTAACCAGAGCTTAATACTACGGAAACTTTTTCCCAACGATCGTTCAATTTTGGAACCTATTTCCACAGTAAGAACACTACAAACCTAACCACGTCATTCTAGGGCAAATCCATATCTGTCCGACATATAATCTTCACTTCATACTTCTGTCTCTTACGTTCATATCACGTATATTATTCAGTAACTGTCTTATTTTAGTGGTTCTTTGGCTTTTTATTAAGTGAAATTTCACAGCTATTTGGGTTCAAGCCTTTTCGAAAGCAGCAATATTTCTATTTTTTTTTATTTATTTGTCGCCTTCTGTATCTATCTTTCTTATGGTTGATTTATTTTTAAGTTGGTTCCTTTTTTTCTCCACCTAAACAAGAAACAAATAATCGATTATATCTCCATGTTGATCCTTTTGACAGTAGACATTTTCCATTTCTTTTTTTTTATCTTCAATTTGTGCCTTTTCTTTTTGATTTGCATATTTTACAAGGCGGACGGCCTACCTTTTCTCTTTTCCCTCATATATTCCGAATCTCCCACCCACTGCACCTTGACCTGACATATTAATTCCCAATGATCGATCCTTCTTAACGCCGGCAACAAATTTACAAAAAAAAAGAAATAAAAGATAGAAGCAAAAGACACTAAGGGAGTGGAGGGTGTAACATTAAATGTTGAAAATATTCGGTAAAGTGCTAACCTTGAATAAGAGAAACTCAAAAAAAAGATTTAACCATATTATCAACCTTCGTCAGCAACTGAATTGCGGGTTTTTCAGATCGATAACCGGTGAATGAAATTATTTACAGATAAAACAGCAAACGTCAGTGCATCATGGAAAAAACACCAAAGCGTATTGGAATAGGGAAAGATGCTTTCCAAAATCGAAACAAAGTATTATCAAACATAACAAAAAAACCGTTAGAAACAAAGAAGAAATGCTGAACTAATAACAATCTCTAGAGAATGCAGGACAATTTACTGGACTATTTTGTAATATCAATCCTCAAGTGAATGCAGGACAATTTACTAGGCAGTTTTGTAATATCAATCCTCCAGTAAATACAGGATAATTTACTAGGCTATTATGTATGTTAATCTTACAGTGAATGCAGGACAATTTGCTAGGCTATTTTGTAATATCAATCCTCAAGTGAATGCAGGACAATTTACTAGGCAGTTTTGTAATATCAATCCTCCAGAAAATGCAGGATAATTTACTAGGCTATTAGGAATGCATTACAATGTATTTTGTAATATCAATCAGTGAATGCAGGACAATTTAGTTT